AGTGAAAAACCACCCACCCACCCAAGCCCACATGTCTCTGGTTGTTTACCAAGCCTAGCTACTTAACTCCAGCAGCTAGTTGGCTGCTAGTTCCCGGCAATCCTCCCTTCTGGGTGATGACACTATGGGATTTGCAGTCCTTGGTGCTTTGTATCTCTTTGGCAGGGGGTGGGGGTGGAGTCCATAAAACCTAAGTTTGTGGAGTTCCTTCAGGACATGTATCCTCCCAACATTACCTGTAGTGAAAGGGAGAAATTTCAAATCCATATCCAAATAGCAGTGGAGGTTCACTTTTGCTTTCTCTCCACAAATCTCACCTTGCCAACATTTTCCCACGAAACCTCCCAAGAAATGACACTAGTCAACTTTGACTCCGGTGTGTTTGTGTTACAAAGCATTCCACACCAAGTATCACTAAATCACAGACTCTTGTGACCCCTGCAATTACTGTTCCCTCTGCCTGAAATGCTCTTCTACTTGATAAACACATGGCTTACTCTCCACTACCTCCAGGGCTCTGTTCAAAGGTTGCCTCTTCAAAGGCTCCTGCCCTCTACAACCTCTAACTCCCTATCTCCGTTAGCCCGCTTTTGTTTCATGTCATCATCCAAATGTTTGTGTCTCCTGCATGAATTTAAAGTCCATAAAAGCATTCTTTGCGAGTCGTGCTTTATCTCCAGAACATAGCTGGCCTAGCACTTGTGGACCACAACATTGTTTTCACTGAATGACTATTTCCTAACTATAAACTTATCAGTGAATGAACGCTACCTATAGATGTTGGGTTCAAAAATGTATAAAAACATAAAAGTAAGGCGTTATTACTGTCTGAATAACTTGTTGGCTGAATCCACAAACATGAGACAACAAATACAACCAACTCCATCAGTCCCTGCCTAAAGTTGTCACTTTCCTTCGTTCCAGTCATATTACGAGTCCTCAACGTGTCTCAAAAAATATTTCCTAGAAGCTTAATACTGAGAAAGGTTTGGCAAATTGTCCAAGGTTCTGTGGCAATCTGCCAGTGGTGACGCCTCGTGATCCACAAGGTTAAATTTGACCTGCTATGTTAACAGTACAAATGTTTGAAAGATACGGCGACTGGCCTTGTACCCTAGGAAGCAAAACGCTAGCAGTGTGACTCAGGCTAGCATCCGAGGACAAGGCTTACCCCGGACCACAGGAACTTCCGTCTTTCTAAAGAGCCCCGGCGCCGAGCTCATGACGCCAATTGCGTAAGACGAGAGCGGCCGCGACGTCCTGCTCTTCCAGTGACCTTCAGGATGAGTGGAGACGTCGGCGACCGGAAGGTCTCTGCCCGAGCGCTGATTGGTGATACGCCGGGGCTAGCTCCGCCCCACGACTTCCGCTGTCCTTCTCCATAGAGGCAGTTTGGGTCTCCTCCGAGCGCCGCCGTTCTCGACGCTGAGGCGCAGTGCCATTGCGATGCCGCGTGGAAGCCGGAGCCGCACTTCCCGCATGGCCCCTCCGGCCAGGTGAGGCCTCCGCGGGGTTCAGGACCCTCCCGACCGGCGCCGTGACGCAGACGGAGGCCGCGCTAGGCCTCCCGAGCCTGGGCCCGGCCGCGGCGTCAGAGGCCAATGTGGCGAGAGCCCGCCTCCGCACGCCGCGAGCGGGTTGTAAACGGGCTTTGACTATATTTTCCGTTCGTGGCAAACTTCCTAATACCTGGACTGTTACCTAAAATGATTTAGGCTCGTTTTATGTAGGTCAGTTCCAGAAAGCAGTGGACGTTTATAAATGTAACCGGACAGAAACGTAAAAACACAAAAAATGTAGAAAGTTAATATAATTGGGAAAATGATCACATTTTGCTTCGGTGAGTAATCTTTAAATAGCTAATGTGAGCAGTGAGCGTACCATGGATTCGATCTGGTAGGGAATAACAGTCACTGAGGCCTCACGTGTACAGGATGTTTTCTAGTTCATAAAATGTTTTAAAAGTCTGTTGGCCATTACAGTTCCTGATAACCTGAGAGATAGTTGTTACTCCTGTTTTGCAGGAATATAGACGCTGGAGAGTCAGGTGACTTGTCCAAGGTCATGCCACTTAAGTAGGAAGTCCGTTCTCAGACTTGTTTTCAAACCATGACAGATTCAAGACATACAACATATGACCACATCACTTCACTGGATGGCAGTATTAACAGTGTGCTAAAGGTGTGGGGAAGCAGTTCACTTAAAGGAATCTGATCAGGACAGAAGGCAGATTTTATGAAATTATGCCAAATGCCTCCAGATAGGAATTGAAGTCATTAATTACACTTTTGACCTCGTGTTAGTTAGGGGAGGAGCACTCAAGGAAACCATATAAAAGTGGGGCAGAGGGAACATAATTAATGTGAAGATGTTGAAAGCATATAGCTGTCCTGCCAGAAATAGCTGGGGTTAATTTTGGTATAACAGTTCAGGCAGGTCACTTCCACTAACTGGGCTCTAGTTTTCTAATCTATAAGATAAAGAAATTGGACTATTGGGTTGGAAAATAGTTGGAAAAGTCATGACGTGTTTTTTCTATTTTTCAAACAAAAATGTGTCGTGATTTTGCTAACAGCAAAATATATCCTTTCTCTTAATAATACCATGTGACATCTTTTACATACTTGACCCCTCAATAGACTGTCAAACTCCATGAAGGCAGAGGTTTTAGTTTTGTTCAGTTATATGCCAGTCCCTGCAGTGATACTGCCCCTAATATTGACTGAAGTCTTTGAAAATCTTACTCCTTTTTTTTTAAAGATTTTGTAAGTTTTTTTTTTAATATATAGTAGTTTATTTTTACATCATTTTGTGCATTTTTCCATCTCATTTGTAGCCCCCTTGGGATTCCCATCACCGAATCACCCATGTGCCATCACCATAGTCTAGTTTTTGATCCCCACTCCACCCCCACAAAATGTCTCTGGTATATAGCTGTTCACCATTATTATTTTCTCGCCTGTTCCATTATATTCCTATTATGGATCTCTTATATTTTTAATACTTTATATATTTAACCATAAGAGTAATACTTGTACTCTTGATATTTCATATTTGTGAGTTACTGAGATAACTGTATTCCTAAAGATACTTAGGCTATGCAAATACATGGACATGCTTGCCCAAAAAGCAGGAAAATGCAGCTAATACTTTGTGATTCAACACTAACAAAAGGTGAAAGATACATAATTATGTATGGTAGTTGTCCTGTATGTAGTTTTCTTATATGAATTGGTAATTGTGTTTAATAATTTAGAGTGAAAAATCCTCAGGTCTATTTTAATACATAGGGGTTGGTTTGTTTATTTTTAAATGACAACCTCCAAACCTGGTTAGAAATGGGAACTTCATACTTTTCTCCTCTCTTTAACAGCCGGGCACCCCAGATGAGAGCTGCACCCAGGCCAGCACCTGCAGCTCAGCCCCCTGCAGCAGTTCCCCCATCTGCTGTTGGCACACCTGCTGCTGCTCCCCGCCAGCCAGGCCTGATGGCCCAGATGGCAACCACTGCAGCAGGTGTGGCTGTGGGCTCTGCTGTTGGGCACACAATAGGCCACGCCATCACTGGGGGTTTCAGCGGAGGAAGTAATGCTGAGCCCGCAAGGCCTGACATCACTTACCAGGTGAGGTTATAGACAGCATTTTCCTTTTGTGGGAAATGTTTTTTATATTATTGTTAGACAACTTATTTATTTATAAGTTCCTAATGTGTAGGACCTGTCTGTAACTTTAGAATCCACGATGCTGGGACTTCCTGTGGTACAAGGGGTTAAGTCTCAGCACTATGAAGCTATCCACAGCCACTGCAGCATGAGTTCAATCCCCAGCTGGCCAGGGAGCTGACCCACATGGCACAGCAGACTTGCTGTCTCGACCACTGCTCCCCTCACAGTGTATTTCAGTCAATCCACGTGTTCTGTTTCCCACTGTCTGGTGAATCCTGTGACCCACCCTGCCCTCCCCACCACCCACACACCTCTGTCCAATACCCCAGCTCTATTTTTTTTTTTTTTTTTAAAGAAGAATCCACACTGCTGTTAACATTGGGTTTTCAAAAACCACATTTAGCTGTTACATAAGTGCCTTAGGCCAACTAAATGTTCTAGTCAGGTACAAAGTATATTTCTTCCCAACGGATAGAATTGTTTTGTTTTCTTTATTAAATTTAATTTTAGTGTAGAACTAGGTGTGGGCCAGTGGTCTGGTGGATGAGAGGATTCCCAGAGACAATGGGGAGCAGGCCAGGTGGGCTGACTGAAATACACAGCTAAGAGGAGCAGTGGGTGAGACAAGAGAGGTCTGCTGTGTCAGGTGGGCTTCAGCACTGGTGAAGGAGTGAACTCAAGCCATAGCGGCGATAGCACTGAGATTTAATGCCTAGGCCATCGGGGAGGCCCCCAGGAGTAGAATTCTAACAGTTCAATCTGGTTGACTATAAAATAGTTAATCTCCTCTTATTCTGAATATTTTGTGTTGATGACTTTTAACGAATTCTGCTTCCATCTTAGTTAGGTATTGGAAATTTACCTCTGCCTTTCTGAAATACGTGTTGTGTTGTTGTTTTCCCCTTTCTGCTAATGAGCATAGGTACATACTTTTGTATTTCTGGTGTACTTGAAATTTTTGCCCCTTGTTTTTCTATCATTGACACAGTTTTTTTCTTCCATGAAACTTTACTAAGTCACTGGTCTTTAGATGCCCAGATACCATATAGTTTTTGGATTTTTGTTCTTAAAGCTTTGTGACTCTAACTGGAATTTGTTGGTGTTCACTTACATTCTACCTTTATAAAGTTTTTCATTTCCTGTGTTATTAGGTGGATACTTTAATTTGCACCTGGTGCTAGTTGTGTTCCCCCAGTTAGCCTCAAAAATAGTGGGTGCTGCTCTTTGTTCAGTGTAGATTAATTTCCTTTCTTAATGGTCCTAAATATTACTCCTTTGCAGGAGCCTCAGGGAACCCAGCCGGCATATCAGCAGCAGCAGCAGCAGTTTGGCCCTTGCCACTATGAGATGAAGCAGTTTTTGGAGTGTGCCCAGAACCAGGGCGACCTCAAGCTTTGTGAGGGCTTCAGTGAAGTGCTCAAACAGTGCAGATTTGCAAATGGTAGGTGATACATCAGTCCATGATTGGACTTGCATCTGTTTAGTTCACTGAATAGTTTTCATGGATCCTTACAACTTAAAGCAATCTGTCGTTAACAAACTGACAGGTTGGATTTTATTTAAATTACTCTAAAATAATCTGAGCTTTCTAAGAAGGTGGTCCAGATGTTTCTAGTCATTATCTTAAGCTATAACCAGTTACGTTTGAATTTAGTTCTTCCTTAAGCAATTAAGGATTAGTCCCTCAGTAAAACTGAGATTTTAGCTCTCAGGAATGTTAGCAATTACGTTTTCATACAATTTTCTCCTGTTAACCTAGGATTTCATCCATTAAAAAGCTAATTTTCTTTCTCTTTTTCTTTTTTTTTAATTCCTTAGCAAGAAAATAGGGAAGATGTTAATTCTCAGGTGTTTAGTTGTGAAAGTAAAATGCTGCATATCCAAGTTTATCAGAAGTTTGATGAAGCTAAATTATAGCTAATAATAAAGGGGCTATATTTTTGCTTCAGTTCAGTTGTAGCAAATGTAATGTGGAAATTTTGTTGGATGTTCAATAATTTATGACAAAAAATAATAACTTTGGGCTTTTATCTTACAATTTGGAGTTTGTTTTGCTAAGAATTTACAGCTAATGCTCTTCTAATTTATCTCTTATGTTTGCAGGGTTAGCCTAATCAAGAAGTTCAAATTGAAGACATGGAGAATCACCTCTCATGACCAAGTTAATTTAATATAAAAATATAAATGATAGTGTAATGCAAAGTGTAAAGCTACCAGCTAAACCTATCATTAATGGCTTCACTGCAATGGAAGAAGGTGTTAGAAGTTCACTGAGATGGTAATTTGAGTATGGGAATGGGTAAAAATGTTTATGTGACTTCCTTAAATCTGCTTCTGTGGAGTTGCTGTTTGTGAATTAAAATAAAGTGATTTTCTTCCAAAATGTGTTGTCATTTAAATGCAGGGTTATAGTTTAGATCTGGCATATGTATGCTAAACAAAGTACATTTCCAAAAGAACACATTTTACATCCACTTTTTAGTTCTCATAGAAAAATAGGTAAGAATTAGCTCACCAGCAACTATGTAGCCTATTAGAACAGTTCTAGGTACTACAAACCTTTGGAGCCAATGTTCAGTAAACTAAGCAGTCATAGGAAACTTTAAAGTACTAATTGTTCTAATTAGATGAATAACAAAAGTGTGAGAATAGACCCATTACAAGTGCCCTGTGACCAGTCACCACTCTGTCCTTGTTCCCCTAGAATACTCAGTTAATTGGGTGAAAACTATACTCTTAATACAGGTAGTTCCTCTGGCAAAGATTTTCCTTCCACTTAAGACAAACTGGCTGCAGTTACCCATTACATTGTCCTAAAGAGATGAGTCCCTTGTAAATGAACCTAGCTCCTTCCCTCAGAACTCAAAACTTCACTTGTAGGAGTTGACCTCGTGACCTGCACTATGCATTTTCCTCCTTTCAGATATACATTTCTTAACTTGTTACCAGCTTAAATTTAGGGATCTATTACTGCACAAAGTGAAGTGCTACTGAATAAATAGATTACTTCATCCTGTCCTCAGCTGTGTACTTAGAGTGCTCTACCTAATCAGTTTCTGATGGGCCGAAACCACATACCCCATAGACCTGACCACGGGTCAGTCCTATCCAGTCCCTGAGGATTCATCAATGAATACCTTTGCCCTTTTCCTGAAGGCTTGGGAACCTGAGTTCAGTGTTCTACTTTTGTCTAAGGCATGTTGTTTAGGGTGTGTTTCCAAACATTAAGTCAAAAACCCATTACTGACAAAATGCAGAAGTCTTACCTGGCCTGAAGATGGGGCTACATAGAGAAGGTTATCGAAACTAACCTACCAGGTCAAGGTCCCTGAAGTGAAGGATTTTGTCATGGTTTGATTGATAGAAACCAGCATGACTCAAGTCTACAGCTCAAGAGTGGAGGGGAGAGGATGAAGTAAAAAGAGGAGGTTGAAGCATTTTTATCTTTGGTGTCTGATGTTGCATCTCAGTAAACAAAGCCTCTGTGCATAGAGCTTATACCCTGAAGTTGTTTCCAATCCTTTCTGTATAACAATTCAGCAAAGTACTCCAGAGTGAAAGAAATAGGTGACCACCACGACATAATGGAATGAGTACTTTGCCCACATCTGGGCTTTATCCAAGTCTTACGTACATGGTGATATTGAGCAACAGTTACATTCTCTCTGAAACTGACTTAATACTGCAGTTTAAAGGAGAGTTTATGGAATGCTTTGTAAAATGCTAAGTGGATATTTGTGGGTTCAGCCTCTGTGTGAGGTACTGTATTACCCCACCCTTCATTTGGGTTGTATTAGCCTTCCATTTGGGATGAGGAAGAACAGTAAGTACTGTGTGTCAGCAAGTTGAGTACATTATCTCCAATTTTGTAGACCTCTTAAGGCAAAAGCATAAAAATGAGGACCCTCCCTCAAAGAACTCAGCTGTACACATGCTGTCCCTGGCACCTAGAACTCCTGATGGAAAATGCACGTTGAAAGCAAAATGACTTAAGAGGGAAACCACAGAGGTAGATGACAGGTGGATTTCTGAAGGTGTGCCCTAACATTTAAGGATTGCACTTTGTACGGCAGCCACACCAACTGCCACTGAGTGGCTCCTGAAGTGTAGATGCACCTGTGTGTTCAGATGTTCTCCTGGGCCCTGTTTTACAGCACACACAGAAATGGCTCCCTGAGAAGCCAGTGCATTTCCTGCAAGCCTGGCTTTATCTCCACTGGGCCTAGAGGCTGAGTGGGCTCCAGGGGAAAGACGGATGTCAGGTTACCCGAGCTTCTCTCACTAGTCGCCAGAGGTCGCCCGTGGTGAAACTCAGCCAGGCACTGTCCCTGCTGAACCTTGGCCTGCATCCCGGGTTTGCAGTTGTGCATTTATTTTTGGCACGTCAGATTTTCGTCATCAAGTAGCAAAGCCCAAAGGAACAACAGCAAGAGATCCTACTCTGGCCACAAGTATCTGCTTGGGACACACTTCAGCCCTCTGCTCCCCGCTCTCCCCAAGGAGCTCTGGGACCTTTGGGATTCCTGTCACATTCACTCAAGGGCCTGCAACGACCACAGGGTGAGTCACCGGCTAGTGATGGACCAAAGCCAAATGGCATATGGGGAGAGGAAGAGCCTGGGGTAGGTAGTGTGGAGGGGTTGAGAAGGCAGAAACCCCAAAACCATGAGACATACTTCCTTCTAAAGGCTGATGGTCCCAAATGAGCAGCAGCATTAACTCCTGCAGCCTGAATCTGGAGGAGTTTGTCTACAGAAACCAGCTCCCTGTGACTGTGTTTTCAAAATCTGAGTTTGAGGGGGGATCCTTCCAAAAAGGACCAGGGCCCCTGCCTGAAGGTCCTGGGGAAGGAGTGGGAAATGGAAGAGACCTGGAACTACCCAGCTTTGGGACGGTCTGGGGTATATAGGAAACAAACTTCTTTTGTGTGGGGAGCGCACTCCTGTGCTTGGATGGTAGTGGATGGACAGGAGAGGCCTGTGAGCAGCGCGGGTACCTGCTATTGGTAGAGGAGTCTGTTATTCTAATCCTTCCTCTGGTAACCAGGCACCCACCAGTGGGAATACCAGGCTTCCCGGAACAGCCAGCTGGATCCTGAGGCAGCCAGGGTTCCTGCCCCACTTAACAGACAGATTGCTCTCTCTGACAGGCCAGGCCTCCTTGGGCCCAGAAAGGGTGGTAGAAGTGGGGCTAGAGAGAGGCAGCTTATACCCATTTATTATCTGCCTGTCTTCCCGCTGGTAGATGATTTTTTTCATCCTCAAATACTTATCAGTCTCTTGGCTGCCTCAAATACTTACAGGTTCTTGGCTGCCTCTGAAACAAAACCAGCCAGCTCAGCTTCTCTGTGTCCAGGCCTGAGTGTCCTTGCTCTGTGCTGCCCCACACTGCAGCAGGACCACTTAGGGCTCATCAGCCACCATTAAGTAGGACATGGAACACTCTGCCAGCAGGACCCGGGACCAGAGGAACAGAGTGCAACCATCAAGTCACATCTAGGGAGCAGTACCAGCTACACAACCGAATGGGGAACACAGAGGCTGATGTCTGGGTGTCCCAGAGAAAATCACAGTCTAATGGGGGAGATGAAAGCACAGGTTGTCAAATGATGCCAGAGATCATGACCAGGACCCACCCATCAGGTTCTGTATCCCTCAGAGCACCTGGGCCAGCACTGCACGACAAGTATGAAAAATAGGTTATGATGATAAAAGTTGGTCAAGGATAAGAGTGAGAAGGAGCAGTAAGAAGCATGGGAAGCATACCCTAGAAGGAGTTTTCAGAGTGAGAGAACAACAACTCAGGCAGATAATAAAGGCTATGGAAGCAGCAGATTAAGAAGATAAAATTGTGAGGTTTCTCATCTCTTCCATAAGTGCAAAGAGCAGGCCCAGGAAAAGCAGGGCCAGCCTTGTCTGCTCAGAGAGGAAAATAAATGGCACTTTTATTTGCCTTTTGCAGAGTTTCTAGTGGTTCTACTCTCAGGATTGTGTCGGCCTAGTCAGAGCTAACCATGGGACTGCCAGTCTGATCCTTTGCCTGTGGCTGCTAAGCCTTGTGACAGTCTGCTACTCCTTCCAGGGAACAGTTGACAGAACAAGCAGGGAGCAGCACAGAGTTTATATCAGTGAGAAGCAGCAAGCTGACCTCTTTCAAAAGTTTTTTCTCAATCACAAACACTTATTTTGAACATTGACTATAGACCAGTACTGGGTCAGAAGGCTGAATGAGAAACAGCTCTAACCCACAAAGACATCCCCTAGGCCAGGGAGGCTGACAGCTTCTTTCTGTTCCCTCCTCAGAGCCTCAGAATCACCACTAGGTGGTGAACATGACTCGGGACGAAGCTCAGCCAGACTCACATCCGGCACAGGGCTTCTATGAGAACTATGAGCCCAAGGAGATCCTGGGAAGGTAAGGCCCACACCTTCCCCACAGGTGCTGTCAAGGCAGCAATCTCTGCTTGAGCCTGAACACCAACCCCCACTTCTATCCACAAAGCACTATCTACTTGCAGAATCCTTCAATTTGGAGCCCTATCTTCTGAACCATGACAGAAAAGGGGAGTATGGAACACCTAGATAGGCAAACCTAAATACGGAACACCTTTACATGCAAAGAGCTCCCCAGAACTGTTGATAAGCATACCTAAATTCCCCTGGGACCAGGGTTAGGGAGCAGGGTCAGAGGGAAGGTTATGGTCCTAAGAATATGTGGCTTTTAAGAATATACAGCTTCTTTCTTACATATGGAGAAAGCATTAAACTAGGGGCTCAGCAGTCTCAAGCAGCCCACCCCTCCATGCCTTTATTTCATCATGTGACCACCCACAAAAGGCCCAAGAGCTAGTGGACAGGCAGGACATCTCTGCTGTGGGGTGGATCTGGGACCCCCCTGTGCCCGAGTGAGGAGGCCCCCAGGACCATCTGTCCTCTGTACCCCAGGGGAGTCAGCAGTGTGGTCAGGCGTTGCATCCACAAGCCCACGTGTCAGGAGTATGCTGTGAAGATTATTGACATCACTGGTGGGGGCAACTTCAGCTCCGAAGAGGTGCGGGAGCTTCGAGAGGCTACACTGAAGGAGGTGGATATCCTGCGCAAGGTCTCAGGACACCCAAACATCAGTGAGTGCCCCCTGAGCCATGGCAGGGTGCTCCACCGTGATGATTCTGCTTTGCTA